TTAGTCTGTCTTGTTCAAGCAGTAGTAGCTATTTCAATAATCATGTTATTGTATGATGCATAGCGTCATTTAAATTCAAAAAATTTTAATGATGTCTATGATTTTATAACAAAAAATGTTTTGAGAAAATTAAAATCAAATAGTTTGAAAAAGAGATGAAAGATCAAGATTAATGTATTGATTTTTTGGAAATTTATTATTTGTTTTTCTTTCTTAGGTTTATATTCATACCCATAAAGGAATTTTAATTGAAGTAAATCCTCAAACTCGTATTCCACGAACATTTGATCGATTTGCTGGTTTAATGGTTCAACTTCTTCATAAATTATCGATTCGTTCCCAAGATTCTGTTCAAGGTGGTATTAAATTGCTTAAAGTTATTAAAAATCCTATAACAGATCATTTTCCTGTTGGATGTAAAAAAATCTCAACATCATTTAGTGTTACATCATCACATCTTGTTAATATTCAAGATTATGTACGTGATGATTGTGAAGCTGATCAACCCGTTGTTTTTGTTATTGGTGCAATGGCAAAAGGAAATGTTAATATTGATTATAATGAAGATACAATATCAATTTCATCGTATCCATTATCAGCTGCATTAACTTGTGCTAAAGTTTGTGGTGCATTTGAAGAAAAATGGGGTGTTCTTTAAAACTTGTTGTTTGTTTAATAAAAATCTACGATGATTTTTGTTTTGTTAAACATCATTGAAAAATAAGATTAATCAAAAATGTTCTTTTCTTGTTGAAAACAAATATTTGAAACACGATACAATTTGATCAGTTGTACAGTTCTGAACAAAAGAAACAGCTCCTTCCTCTGAAGTGCTACTATTCTTTATGACATTAAGTTAATATTTTGGATGCATATATGCAACAATAAATCATTATTACAAGCAACAACCTGTCATCCTCGATCGATTCACATGTACTGAAGCTAGAATTCAAACAGCATCTTCCTTTTTTCATTACCTGATGTAAACTATGTTGGCTCTAATATTTTCTTCCAACTCCTCATTGGGAAGCCTAATACCACTGTGATCTGTGATTGAAATATCGTTAAAAACTATTTCAAAATGACTGAGATATTGTCTTATCATGAAGAACAATCATTGATGAAGAAACGGTAGTTTGTAGTCAAATGAATCTTTTATATGATGGTGCTGATCAATTCATTTAAAAATTGTAGAAAAAAGGTCTTATAAAATAAAGATTTTCTGCTGAAAGTTTCAAAGTTGCAGTACTTAATGAAGTCAAGTACTGCGCTATAATATAGGTTCATTATATCAGAATATACTTGCCATCTGAATGATGACTATATATTACCGACTTCGGTGATTTTACAATAGGTATATGAGACTGCTTTTGGTAGTAGAAAAAAACACTCATACCTTGTGGAATAGCAAAATGACAAGCCAAAATTATTTGAATACAGTTGCTTTTGTCCAAAACTTTATATGAGAAAGATTAAAATAAACAAAATTCTCATACTTAATTGATGAAGTTAACGTTACATAAGACATCAAGAAAGAAGTGCATATATGTAGTTTAAATAAAGAACATTCTATATTTAAATTAATAATATTCGATTCTGTGTGAGACGAGATGTCTAATGCAAATTACAAGCCGGTTTCAAAACAGCATGTAGAATGAAAAGAACTAAAAACAAATTAAGCTAATTACATATTATCTCGAAATTAATTTTGACGCATTTTTCGACTAACCATGTGTTGATGGCATAATTATATTGACACCAAAAAAAAACAGAAATCGATAGTTAAGCACATCTTTTATTCAAAAACTTATAAACATGCATATATTTTATCAAAGTACATAAATATGTGAAATGAACGTTTTTTATTCGTACGCTTTTCTTTTTCTCATGTAATATGCTGACTTTTGATGCTAAATTTTTTTCTAAAATGCAGTCTATATATTGTCAATATCGTACAACTGTAATTATTCAATTAATTAAGTTATATAGAAAAAGCATTCGATGCAAAGATAATGCTGAGTTGGTGAATTTTTAGCACGGAAAAAGACGAGCGTAAAGATTCGTATATTACAGTATTGAAAAAAAGAAATATTAAAAAACAATAGATGAACAATGTAAAAATAATATTTAGGAAATTACAAAGAAAATTGTGAGCAATGAAATTGATCTGAAGCATGATCCA